TTTAATAGTAATTTTAGTAGTAACTTAGTAGTAATTTTAGAAAATGTAATAGTAATTGCTAGAAAATAACAATTTTATTGTGGATTTTTAAATTAGCATTTTAAATAAACTATATCATTCACTTATTCATGGCAGGAATATATGGCACATAGATGTTGCTAATGAAACGTTTAAATAAGTTAATTCTAGAGTGGGGGGTGTTCTGATAACGAAAGTGTGAGTAAAAACAATCTTGATGTATTTAGAACATCACTATGATAATAATGGAACAAAGGAAGCGCTATCGCTTGACCTATGCATGGCATAAACACATTATCACTTAAATTTAATAATTACTTCGTAAAATGAGATAATGAAAACTGACAGAAGATTAGGTTTTAGTTTATTCTGTAATAATAAGTGCAAATTTGCTTGGTTTTCTATAATTTATGTTTTGCATGCTAATATTATCATTTTTGACAATATTTGCTCGTCTTAAAGAGATCCTCGGAATTTTATTAATATTTTTCGTTTCTCTCAAGGGCTGATTAATTAATAAGATATTTTACGTAATATGTGCGAAGTGTTTTTCCTGTATGAACAAATTACAAATCAATATGTACGAGCACTTAATATTATGAAAGCCATTTTTCTTCTACATATGACGTATAAGATGGAGTTAAAAAGTTAAGAAACTGTTCTATTTATGGTTTGCAAGTATTAATGACCTATTTTATAATTTTTTCCATTGATATGTAATTACTACAAAAATTGTGAAAAAAGCACTTCGATAAAATTAATACGTTCCTAAATAGCAAATTATTATGGAGCGCAAATACAAAATTGTGTTTATCATGATAAGATAATAATATACTTCAGCATCTATTTCCAAGTAACATAACAAAAATGAATCAACGTTTGTACAATAATAAAAAAAGTATAATGAAAGCTAGAACTTTATTTAATTTAAGAAACATTATAAGAAGTTCTACTGTATATGATAAAACATATTTTATATTTTATGCAAATTGTAAATAAAAGAAACTATTTAACGAATAATAAAATGTTCGTTTTGTAAATTTGTTAGTAATCTGCTTTGCGTGGTACACTCTGTATATTAAATTATATTTTACAGTTTTCAGTATTAATATTCTAATAATAATACTTAATCTTCAACGTATTAA